GTAACGCCACGTCGGAAGGCAAAAGTGTTTGTCCACTCTGGGAAAACATCGTAAAAGGTAAGAAAGCAGAATCTGCGTTTAATTCAGTTTGAAGTGTTATATTGCCTCTTTTCCTTCCTGTTTTTCTGCGACAACGTCGATACTGACGAATAAATAGTTGTAAAATTAACATTCTTGAAAATAAGACCAGTACAAACATAAAGTCACGAACATAAAGAAATTATAAGAATTATCAAGAATGTCTTCAAGAAGACAACTGCTTCTTCTCTTTTATCTTCATTGCATTTAGAGACTCGACAAGATAGTATTAACAAACGTCTCTCAAACGGTATTAACATTTACAAAAGGAAACAGCATTTTATTCAGCCGCCCACATTGTATACCAAGAGTTTAATAAACGTGAATACAGTGCAAGCAAATATTCATTATTCGTTGAGTTGAGAATATTTCTTCAGTGATCTCCTACAATATAATTTCAATAAATTTTCGGTTTCATCAATTTTAAAATATTGTCAAATTTCTGGCTGAAAATGTTATTTCATAGTTAATGTTATTTCATAATTGAAATTTTAATAAAAAGCACAGTAATTGTGAAATCTTTAAAGCTAACCTTGAAATCACTATCAAATGGAAAGATATGAAAATTGCGGAGAATGCATGAATCACGAGAAATCGCATGATACGCACGATATACAACGGCAATGAGTTAGATTATGCAGCTGCCTATTAGACGGACTTGATAAGAGTGATGTATAGCATGATAGGCATGTTAATGTGAATTGCTATAAATTATAATTTCATAACTTCCGCAATTAATTCTCGACGAAGGAATCGTGAACATCGAGATATCAAATCGTGTGCGTGGAGATGGACAATCGAAATTTCGGTCCAAAGTCAAAGACTTGTTACAGCCGTCATCTTACAAACTGATATCATCGACACAGTTTCTGTTTTCTTTATTTTTTGGTCTCATTTTGCATCGATCTTCGATGCATCATATGTATACCTTCTCATCAGAATTAACAACGTCGAATGCGCGGCACAAAGGAAACGGGTCGCGGCAATTCGGTCAAATTTTCCCCGACCTATTTTTTCGAAGCTCCGTGTTTTTGACTTCGAGATACGTGAATATCCACATGAATGTTTTGATTGCTTGCAATCACGAGCGATATCGAAAAGACAAAGTTTCCAAAGGCACATAATAGTAAACACCGCGAATAAAACCTCAGCCCGAGCCTCAGCTCACATTTTATCGGATACAAATCCCAGATCGTATCCCAGTTTTACTACGGATCTATATATATCTTTCTACGATTCGAAAAAACTATATTCAAGCGAGCGTGTATTCGAAATCTATCGACGATGTGACAGAAAGATCGAAGCGTCGAAGATGAAAAATAATTATATTGATATTTAATTCCCTCCGAAGAAAAAAAGAAGGAAAGTATGGGTACAAATTACTGTACTATTCAAATACAAAACCTAGAGGAAATAAGCAATCGTGTTGGCGTCTCCCAGGACGGCGATTGTGAGCGACGACGAGGATTAGGATCAGATTTACTCGGACCCTCTTGTGTAATTCCTCAACGCGAACGCTTGAAGTAATAAAGCGACAGTTGCCCACCTTGTACACTTACGACGTCATATCGCTTTACTACTTCCAATTAATAGGGAACTTCAGAACGGGTGACACTACATTCGGATTACCAGCTTCCAGGAATGGGAGATTCGCACATAAAAGAATAGAGATTCCATATTCATTGCTTTATTAAATGTGTCCGAGGAAAAATGAACCTCCATTACGTGATTGCCTCTATGACAGTCTCGACTCATCCAATCGTTAACTGTTTGTCTATTCTATGCGATCAGCTACATTTGTCTCTTTTTGTTTATATAATCCCAAAATCAATTTGAAATTAATTAAAAAAGCTTTAATCTTAGAACGCTATCAATATGTAAATTTTACAAGTAAATGAGATCATTGAATGCTAAGTTATACCTTTAGTGTCATTAGGAGGTTCACTCTGCTATTCTAAAATGAGGACAAGAGGAGACAAGAATTAAAAAATTCTATTATACGTATATCGTTTAAAATCTCTGAAAATTAGTTTAGTAAAGTAAAGAAATATTATAACAGAGTGTGATAAGTGATTTCAATTTTAAGCAGTTTTATGTATTATGTTTTATTATTTTTTTGTTATTATATATTTTATTTAGAGGAATTAATTTTAATCTTGGAGAAAATAATGGAGAATGTAGTCTACAATAATTTCATATTATTTTAAAGTGTTCTTTAGTAAAGAAAATTTGGGATAACTCATCAGACTCATTCGAAATTACAAATTTGCATAATTTGAATGAAATATTAAAACTACATATATCTTAATGAATTAATATAGAACATATAATAATAAATCAAGAGCTGCATCTTCATCGAACGGAAATAAGATAAGATTATGTTTAGTTTTTTGAGATTAAATTTATATGCATGTTTATGCACATAAATATCTTTCCAGAATGATAATTTTCCGTTAATTTTCTATTATTATTTGTGACCATTAAAATCGTAATTTTTTAAACTATTATAATCTCGTTTTTGAGGAAAGTTATTTGTGTGCAGTTAGTCAAAGAAGTGTCTGCAAGCCTTATCTGTCACTAAGTTATACGTGAAAAGTTACATTTTCGATATTTTTCTTCTTTTTTATTTTATCGTTAATCTACCATAGAATTTTGCACATGAATTTCAACTTTATTATATAAAAAAATTAGACATTTCTATTGATAACTCGATTTAAAGAACCATCTTAATACTGAATTTTTGATAGTTTATTTCTTCTTTCTTTCTTTTCAAATTAATAATTTGTGTTTATAAAAGTCCAAATTATAAATATTTTATCATTAAAAATATGAAACGTACGGAAACTATGTGTTACATTAATTATAATTAATATTTCCTTGTACATAAAAGTTACGTATCAATAACAATATTGTATTACTCAACATCGATAGCATTTAGATTAACTAATTAGACAATTATAATACTGAAATCTTTAACTTTAACTGATTCTTTTTGTCGCGATAATAATCTTAACGTTATATGTTGGACGCATGGAATTTAGCATGGAAATTTCAGTTCGTGATATTTCTTCTTCGTCAAAAGTTCTGTGCAAACATAGTCTAATTTATCCTGATCTTTACCCTCTTCTTTATCAAACGCGAAGAAATTACAACGCAGCATTTTATACGATCTCAGAAGATCCGACTTTCCTCGCGCTGCACTCCAACAGCGTAATTATGTTGACCTTCGAGATAAATCATCGTTGCTCTCACATGCCACAAGCAGATGTAATATCTACTTGCGAAAAGTTTATCAGCAAGATTACACTATTACTGCGGAATTGGACCGCTAGATACCGGATATGTATATATATATATATATAGCATATAGCACACGTCCTTCCCGAAATCCCAATTTCATTGGGGGAAGGGGGCTATAATCCGTGGCGCAAAACGCCCATCGATATGCATGTAACTGTGTGCGCACTAATCATTCGGTATGAGATAGATCGACGAGGGGAAAACGCGAGAATACATCCGAATATGTTTGTGTCAGAGAGTTAATAAGCCTATTTCGACATAATTCTTGAATTGCTACAACAGTTCAAAAAAATATACATTTATTAAGCATTTAATTCTGAATATTATTACGAACATAAATTGTAATCTTTTTAACATGTCAATTACGATTGACAAACAACTCCGCCGATTTTTCACGATTATTGAATCGAAAAAGAAATTTCGTAGTCGATATAAGTAGATAGGTAGTCGACTAAAAATTTTTTACTTACGTATGTAATAATCATATTTATTTATATGACACGCTATCTTCTGCGATTCCACTGACAAATAATTTATTTGGCCATAATCCGATTTGCATTGTCTGTCCACGGTGTATTACTTTAGGAGGCAATAAAAAATTTAATCTTTTTTTAAATCGTCTTTTTAATGAATCAATGCCATTCATTCCTGTTAAAATATGTAGCAAGAAATTATGTAATGCTGTGGAGCTCCACTTTAATTTAAAACTATCCAGTGAACAGAAATGTCCAACAAAATTATATATATTTATTACAAACGGAAACATGTTTTGCTTGTGACTTTAATTAAAACAATTTCCATTATTAATTAAAAGTAAAAGAAGAGAAAAGAAGAGAATGCTCTTCTCAGCTGAATTGGAGGCAACTGAATTTATTCGCAAGTTCTTATAAAGTTATAATATTTTTGTAATTTTCATAATAATAAAAATGGTCCTTGAGTCATTATTAATTTCTCGATTGCTCGAGCGTACCTATATAAAAATGCATAGTGGTAGTTTTATTAAAAGGCAAGTAATTATTAAATGTGCCATGTCAAGCATAATATTTCCGATAAATGAAGTATAACGTGTGATACATAAAATCTCTGTAATTATATACTTGCCAACACTTAATCAAGTAATCTTGACGGCTTTGCGAAATGGCGACTACGATTAATTGCTATTAAAACAATGTACAATAATTTTTTTTAATAATATCGAGTTGATATTTTAATAAGAAACATAAATCGAAAGCTCAAGACGTTATCCTCGAAAATATTTTTATTAACTGCTTATAATTCTACGAAACTATTGATACTGATTAGAAAATATCGGACATTTAACAAGATATTAATGATGTGTCAACAATCCGAAAATAAAATTAATTCTTCATGATGTCCTACTGCGGATATATCACACATACATCGTGAACCCTCTCACAGCATGCAATTTCGAATGAATTTTTGGGCATCCCTCATAAACGTAACTATCACGCATTTTCCCCTAACACATTTTCAAAATCATAAATCAAACCGCGCATTATTTTGTAACATAAATTCACATAGATCCTCGTCAATATTGATATTTCCGTAGAATATTCCATTTCTTTGAAAAAGAGATGATTTAACTCTGACGCAACACTCACCGATGCAGATGACGAGCGCCACGGCAAGAATCGGCGGGAAAGTCTTCGAAAACGAAAGCATGCTGCGGCCGGGATCTTAGCGAGAGTGGAACAAGAATAAACACTCACGGCAGAAATGAAGAGATTACTCGGTCACGAAGTAAAATGTCACGCGGGGCCGAGAACTGACGGTACCAACCGGAAGGGGCGGGACTAGAGGACGGTGGCCCGCGCGGAAAACGGAGAACGAAAGGAAAAAGGCACTACGAGCTCGGTTACCCGCTCGTTGATCACTGGTAACCCCGTAGATACGTGGTCCACACCCTCTATTAACACCGAGGATCGATCTCGATCCCCTACTGGATATGAATTTAGGACGCGAACAATTTTCCTCTTCTTCCAAAATATCCCTTAATAATATTGCCTTCGCGAACAATTGGCGCGGCACATTCGCGCTTATCTTTCTTTTGCTTCTTGCCCCCCTCTCTATACCCCCGCGCGATTAATTGAGAGAGAAAGTTCGCGGGTGGTACCCCGATTCGATGGGTGAGGTAATCGGGGGCAGGAGGGTGGCTTTTTACAGGCAGGCGCGTTCTACCACCGTATACGTCTGTTGCGGCGCCAACGTCGGACTGACTTTCTCTACGTTACGGCCGCTCTGCAGCAGTGGCGGCGCGACGCGCCGTTCCGCGCCGGACCGCGTCGTCGCGCGGATACATCCCGCGTCACGTGTGCGTCCGTGGGCGTGCTCCGGATGCAGCGGACCGCCGACGCTGAAGGAAACGCTGGGGAACGCGCTCGCGGGCCCTCTGATGAAAATAAAAATCAAAGCGTAAATCGGATGTAATGGAAGAATAACAGAAGCGTAAACGAAACTTCTAGAAGGCGAAAATGGGAACGATGAAATGTAAAAGAAGCATTTACGCTTCTTTTACATTTTGATATTTCAATTTTCGCTTCTTACAAGTTTCGTTTACGCTTCTGTTACTCTCCTATTATATTCGATTATTACGCTCTGATTTTTATTTTCATCAGGGGACCCCTGGCAAAGTGAAGCGACCTTTACATGTACAATCTTATCCGTTGGTTTTCAAAAGATATTCAAGAAATTTAATTGTAATTCTATACATGTAAATAAATACGCATTTCAAAGATAAAGTGGGAGCATAGAGTCTTGCATAACGCATAATCTATAATACATACAAAAATGAAGAGATTCTTTATTTCCTTTCTTTTCATGTAACAAAAGATTCTAATTGGTTAAGTTTCTTATACTTTATGTATTATGTGTTATACAAAATAATCTTCGGTTTAATGGGTTTTCTTCAATAAGTCATTACCTAATCTTTAAATCTTAAGTCATAAGAAAATGACCAATTAGAGTCGATTAGTCTTATCATATTTGAGTGATTAATCGATTTTTTATAGCTTAAGACTTAAGATGGCTTAGATAATAGGTTATTGTAGAAAGCCTATAAGAGCTTTATTTAAGAGTTTTTATTTAAAACGCGTGCAAGCACTCAAATAAAAGGACAAAATTAAGAGCGCGCGCGAGTCTGCGTGCATTAGGAATTGTGTGTAAGAGTAACAATGTACATGTAAAGATAACAACACTTTTTGGAGTAACTTGCACTCTTTACAATGATTTTTATCTTTGCACAAATCTGCACTCAAGCACGAACGTAAGAGTATGTGATCTCTTATCATTTTTGAATGACGTTCTAAACTCACAGAATGATACTCAGGTCAGGAAATTAGCCCGACGTGTCGCACGTTCCGTTCTTATCATATTTGCAGAAACTTACGACGAAGAGAAACATAATGCTATCTTCTTAATTTATCAACATTACTTGATCCTTGAAATATTTGGATTTGTGTCGACTCGGGTGCGAATTAGGATGAATTATTCTCCTCGTAGCAATGATTTGTTACAACAATTTAGAACTGTTGAAACTATTAAAATCTTAATTTGCAATAATTTATAGTTGAAAGAATAAAATAATTAATCAAATTGATTTATTTTTCCAGTAATTAGTGAATTTTTCCGAAAAAATCTGTAATCTGATGTATGTTAATTTAAAAAAAACGCATAAAAAATTTTTAAATAATAATGCTTTGAACTTTTTGATCAAGCTTTAGCTTAAGAAATTAAATGCGTATTTCAATTTGACTTCAAATCTTATCATAATTTAATTGTTATTCTTTTATATTTTGAAATAAATAGAAGAGTTAAATGAAAAAAATGATATAACATAAACGATATAAAAGAAAATAGTATAAAATCCCTTTTTTTAAAACTCGACTTCCACTTCAATTTTGAAAATAACTATCTCAGAACAGTTTTAGTGAAATAAATGGTTTATAGATATTAGAATTGTCAAAACATGAAAAACAAAAAATTTATAAGCCAGACCAGAGAACATGTAATAAAAAAAATATTTGTATACAAATAAAGTAATAGAAATTGAACATTGCATCGATCAATATTCTGTCACTGATTTATCGAAATAGATCACCATACTGCTCACTATTATTTTTTTCTGAACAGAAATTATTCATTTCAATGAAATAATTCTTTGTTACTTTTTATCACGGAAATAATAAAGTTCATAGCGTAATTAGGAAATTTTTATTAAAAAAATAACAAAAATTCTTTAACTAAGAAAAATGCTTCTTAAGAAAAACACTTTTTCTGAAAACTCAACATTCATTTCGTCCTCATAGTCTTATTTGAGAAATTTTTGTTCGAGCAAAATTATATGTATAATTATATATAATATAAAATATATTATATTACATCATTATATATTATTATAGCAAGAAATAAAGAAGATTGATAAAGAAAAACCAGGAAATGACTTTCAGGATAAATTATATTATTCTGTACGAAAAGATATATTTCCTTGTCCTTCAACGAAGTTGTAAACCCCATTTGTGTTCCCCATCACGCACTGCAGTGCGAATACCGGTTTACATATCAAGTTATTGCAGTATGTATTCGCGCCCGTAGTTATTGGGGAGTGTATACAATGTGTGCGCGTGCATATAATGCGGCAGCAACATAGTGCCATGTGGCATCAATCATGGGGTTTCCTGCAGGTGAAAGGCCAGTTCCCTCTGCGTGAATTCGCACCTCGCATATCTCTCTCTCTCTCTCTCTCTCTCTCTCTCTCTCTCTCTCTCTCTCTCCCCCCCTCTCTCTTTCTCTTTCTCATTCCTCCCTTTGTCTCTTGTTTTCTAGATTTGACTATAAAAATTCTCTATCAAAATTCAGCAGGTTTTGAATCTTGGAAAAAAAAACGGAAATAGAAAATGACAAGTATAACGGAAATAACAAGAAAGAGGGATTGAATTTTTATTCAGATATAATATATATTGCGAGAAAAATAAAAATTTTTGAATAAGAGAATTATCTATGGAAAGTTTATAAAAATAAAATATTATGTCTAAATAAAAAGTTAATCTATTAAATCCAGTTATTAAATATAAAAAGAGATAATAATTTTTTATGTTGTAAAAATATATTTATAAAACAATAGTTATATATAATTTTTATTACATTGATATCATTTATTTATATATACGAACAATACAACGTGGACAAAGAGCAAACATCCGTATCACCTCTGCTGAATATAACGTTACTACACTACAACATTCCATTGTAAAAAATATAATATTGTAGTGGTATTAATATTGTTTTGAATGTCTGAAAGTTTTTCAAATTTTGGAATTCTATAAGTGATTTAGCTTACCTGTCTAATGTTGGAATATTAGAACGGCTATAAAAGGATCCTTCAGTCACAATATTCGAGAAAATATGGATATGGATTTAATGTCATACATTAATATAAATACTGATATAGTATTAACATCATGTTGATGTTAAATTATTTAAATCAGGATGTTAACTCTACTCATTTTTTATCATCTTTTAGAATGTGGTAATTAAGGAAGAACTATAGTCTTCGTTACGGTTTCAGCATTACAAAAATAAGCTAAAATTCGCGTAAAATTCTACTTAAATCTATACCGTATTGGTGTTTATGTCAACATAAACTAGGATTACAACAAATACCGACATAGTATAAAAACTATACCATTTTTTAAATTCATCTATGCTTTTTAAAGTATGATTAATATAAACTATATAGTGGACGATGAGTAGATAAAATGTGAAATAAATGAATAAAAATATATGATCACGAGCTAAAAAATATAAAAGAGATGGCTTTTATTTTTAAGCAAGTTATTGATTGAATATAAAAATGCAACGACTGCAATTTTATACTTTGTACTTGTATAATTTTATATTTTGATAATTTTTTTTTTGTTAATGTAGAAAATATTGAAATCTTTAACAAAATTCTACAAAATATTTTTGCAATTTTTAAACATATATAAAATACACATATAAATGCACATATAAATATTATAAGAAATAAATAATAACATGTCTTCTTTAAAGAACGAAGCGCCAAAAGCTCTCCCGACAGTTCTGCGCAATTTCGTAACACGCTCATGCGCCACATAATTATATATAAATAGTTTATACGAATAAAAAGATAATGTTGACAGACACAGTATTAAATCTTTTATTTATGTATAAAATTTATGTACACATTAGGAATTAAATTTTGTAAATATATATATGATTGTAAAATTAAACCTCCCATATTCTGTAAGCTCCACATTGTTTTATAGAATATTTACATTGTTTAAATATATTCAGTGAAATCATATATTGGTATGTTATTTTTATATTTGTTCGTAAACGGATATTTGATGCAACCGAGCAAAATATATAAAAAAAGCTCATCATATCTGTTCAAAAGAGCAAAAATCGCTTTTTCTTTGTAGATCGTGATGAAACTTTATCAGAATATTGAGTTCTAATAATACATAGGTATAAGCGATGAAGAATTATATTGATCTTCTTTTATTGATCAATAAAAGAAGGTCAATATAATTCTTCGTCAATAATTCGTTAATAAGCCATTGTTCAACATCTATTATTCATTGCATTCTATATATCGAAATTCTATCTTTGTTTTACGTCTAATAAACAACGAAGTAGCACTAATAGCGTCTCTCCGAATGCACCACAATACAAGAAAGAACAATAAAGAAAAAATTAAATTTCAAATTAACAAAATAAAAAATAAAATGCCATTGTCAATAAAAAAAAAATTCGAAACATGACGGTTAAAAACATTTTCAATGATGTCAACATATTTAAAAAATTAAAACAACAATCATTGTTAATATTTCTCAATCATCTTTTGCTATCTATATATAAATATAAATATATACAAAGTTGAAAATAAAAAGTTAATTAAATAGGAATGACATGTGTTTTCATTTCTTGATCGCGTCTGAGTAGATTATTTGCAAGTAAGAGACTTGAAACTGATGGCAGCACGTTCTTGGTCTATTAGCAATCAGCAATGATTACTGCCGCAGCAAACCAGTCGGATCAGAAATGAACAGACTGACTCCCTCTGTCGACTTCAGTTATGCTACCGACAGAGGCGGTGAAATCAATGATCAAAAAAGAAGAGAAGAAGGTGGCATGCTGATGTTTGCAAATTTTGCAACTGGTCCATATAAGTGACGACATCTAGGCCCATCTGCACAATATAATAATCAATATTGCAATGTTAT